AAAAACGATGCAGAAATGGAAGGGTGCAAAAAAACCAATGCAAAAATGGAAGGGTGCAAAAAATAATGCAGAAATGGAAGGGTGCAAAAAAACCAATGCAAAAATGGAAGGGTGCAAAAAAACCAATGTGAAAATGGATGGGCGGGAAAAACGATGCAGAAATGGAAGGATGCAAAAACAATGCAGAAAACGAAAGCGTGCAAAAAATGATGTGAAAATGGAAGGGTGAAAAAAGGATGCGAAAATGGAAGGGTGAAAAAAACGATGCGAAAATAGAAGGTTGCAATAAATGGAAGGATGCAAAACCGATGCAGAAATGGAAGGGTGCAAAAACAATGCAGAAACAAAAGGGTGCAAAAAAGGATGTGAAAATGGAAGGGTGAAAAAACGATGCAGAAATGGAAGGGTGCAAAAAACCAATGCGGAAATAGAAGGGTGCAAAAATGATGCAGAAATGGAAGGCTGCAATAAATGGAAGGATGCAAAAACCGATGCAGAAACGGAAGGATGGAAAAAAAATGCAAAAATGGAAAGATGCAAAAAAATGATGCAGAAATGGAAGGGTGCAAAAAACGATGTGAAAATAGAAGGTTGAAAAAAATGATGCAGAAACGGATGGATGCAAAAAAAAAAAGTGAAAATGGAAGGGCACAAAAAATAATGTGAAACTGGAAGGACGCAAAAAATCATGCAAAAATTGAAAGAGGCAGAAAAACCAACGCACAAATGCAAAAAAGCAACACCCAAATGTCAAGATGCAGAGATACACAAAACAACGCCCCAATGCAAAGGTGCAAAAAGTGAAGGCAAAAACCCAGTGCAAAATGGAATGCAGGAAAGCAAACGTGTAATGCAAACAGTGCAAAAAAAGCGAGAGGTGATCCGAAATTGCCCAGATGTAAAAAAGAATGCAGAAATGTGAAGATGCAAAGAGCAATGCAAAAAGTGGAAATGGAAAAAATAAGGCAAGAATGCTAAAAAGCAAGAAGCAATGTGAAAATGCCAAAGGGGAAAGAAAAAGCTGAAATGCACAAATGCAAAGAAGCAGAAAAGAACGCAGGAAT